TTGTAGACATCTGCATATATAAATTTCAAAATTCTTCCAAATTAATATATTTGAAATAGAATTTCACATCCTCTTTTCCTTACTCCTTGCTTGCAATACTCAAATTAAAAGCCAGCACTTAAAATCTTACATTCGCAATACGGACTCCCTAGGTGGGCCAATGTTTAATATCCTACACTGATAACCAAAAGATTCAAAGTAGATTCTATCCAAAAGTTCCTAGAAAGAAAACCCTATCAATCTAATTTCAAAAGTCAGTCGTTGAAAATCAAGTGGAGCATGGTTCAGTGCTATCGCACATGGACTTGCTTTGAGTCAGCATAGTTTGACAGTAGCTCATAATTAAAATTATTATTAACAATGGCTATGTTCTTTCTTATTTTAGCCTTATCTTGAAATTCTATTCACATTGAAAATATTCTCATTTAATTTTGCTCTTTTACAGATTTTAAATTGATTTTTTATTTCTCCTTTTCTCTTTTCACTGTAGTTGTATTGTGGACTAAGGTGGACTATCTCCTGGAAACACTTATTATATCATTGTTTTCCCTGATTACTCATTTCTTTTGGCTTCCTGGCTCTGTTGTATAACTGGCTCTTACTGAGTCCTCCCTCAGTTTGCTGGGCAGGCTCTCCAGAGGAGTCTCTCTGAGTGCTCACAGGTGCCTCCCACGGTGTTTTGTCACATCTTAGCATACTCAATGATGAAAAAATGGTTGGATCAGGATTTTTATCTTCTTTATGGCATAGGCATCACTACAGGACCTAGAAATCCAATTCTTCATGTATTTTCATTCCTATACCTAGATCAACTTATATAGTTTCTTAGATATACTTGGTTTTAAAAATGCTCTGATAGTTCTTAATTTTGTCACATCGTGGACTGTAATTTAGGTTTTCTGTGTGTATGTGTACATATGGTTTTGTTTCATTCTTAAATCACACTTTAACAAGAGTACTTCATGCATGCATATTACTCGCATTAGGACACAGAAACGCACACACACATGTATGTATGTATGTATTCACATACACACGGAATCTGGCTTGACCATATTGTGCCGAAACAATATGAAATGTTACTCATGTTGTTAGGTACTGTCCAGTCCTTTTCAAATCAGTGGGAATCTATGTGACAGAGTTGAAATGCCCAGGCTGTTTTCTCAGCTGCTATCTTTCTGGAAAAGAACTCAGGGAACACAGTGCTTAAGTGCTTGAACACTAATTCAAAGGAAGCTGGCTGACCGCTCCTGCTGCTCTGTAGGATGAAGAGGTGGCAATAGGCCTCTGTAAAGAGCAAGGCCTCTGGAACCTATGGAGTAGATCTAATGCGGCTTACTGGATCATTAGGAACCAGAGTAGATTCTATGGCAACAGGTTTGATATGATATGGTTTCATCTCTATGGAAGCTTATATCCAAGATTTCTCTGACACAGCCACCAATTAGGTTCAAACCACTAACCTTCCAGTTAGCAGGCAACTACTCAACCATTTTCACCAGAAATCCTCAACCAAAATCCCAAGGCAAAACTCACTGAAATGGAGTCAATTCTGAACTCTGTTATCTATCTCAGTTGTTATGTACTAGGCTGTCGACAACAACAAAGTTGTTGACTCTAATCCACCGGGCACGCTCAGATAAAAGTTGCGACAGTGCTTCCTTCTACTACAGCTTGGAAATCATATGGGTCAACTTTTATTTATCTTCCAGGGCTGTTATTATTAAACAAAGAGAAAGACTCTTACATACTGCGTGTGGAACCATAGCTGTTCTGTGGTTCTTTCTATGTTAATACCATCAACTATGCTAGCATCCCCTCCGGTCCTGTCCAATTCTTGTTCACTTCCACTAATAACGCTAGGAAAACCCTCTGAGAAGCCAAAATTAACTGCCTACCTGTCTGTTTCATTTTGTTGCTTTAAGACCATGGTTGAACTATTAGGTTTCCAGTTCCTACCTGCCTATATCTATTCCAAACGCACGTCGTCCTTGCCGTCAGTGGAGGGCTGCGGAGGAGTCCTCTCAGAAGTACACTGCTCTCAGTCCCCTTAGAGCAGTGCCTTCAGAAAACACTCAACTCACTGCCCTCAAGTCGGTCCTGCCTCACAGCAACCCTATGGGGACTGAGCTCACCTGCCCCTGAGGGTTCCTGTCACCCGAAATCTTCATAGAAGTAGAACGCCTTGGACTAGTGGCCTTGGGTGACAGCCCAGCATGTAACCACTATGCCACCAGGGCTACTCTTTCCAAACAACAACAAAAGGTCCAGGAGAAACACTGACTTTCAAGAAGTTTGGTTGAGCCCATGAAATTTAAGGCAGAAAGAATTTAGAAGACATTCACACTTGTGTGTGTGTGTGTATATGTGGGTGGGGGGGGGCGGTTCAAGATGTAATCATGATAGTTGTTTTTGAATGTCACAGGCTTATCATGGACATATTATTAATAAGTTATTAAGAAAAATGGAAAGTGAAAAACCAGGCCTTCAATGTGGAAGCTAGGATTACTTTTTTCCTTTCACAACAATATATCTACTTACTCTCTGAGGGCGTTCTAAAAAAATTCATTGGGAAACTGAGTCTCCTCCAACCTGCAGTCCTGAACTGACTCCTTCAGGCATCTTTTTGTTCCCCAAACTCAAAGAACGTTTAATAGAACATGATCTGCGTCCCTCAAGGATGGAAAACTGCTATTTCAAGTGGTGCAAATTGAAGACAGCAACATTTTTGGTTAAGGGCTGGAGAGATGTAAACACGATCTTCAGAAGTATAGAAATCTCAATGGAGGATAAATCAAAACAACACCTTCACATTTCAATTATTTTCGTTTAATGCGGTTTCTGTGTTTTCATAGGACTGCTTTTAACTAGCTTCGGATTTCCTTCCTCCAGAGGTGTGGAGATGGCATCTGCTCACTACATGCTCCCTTTTCTTAGTGAATTTTCCAAAACTTTCATTCTCCATTAGCAGAAAGAACTAACGTCACTTTTGACTTAGTGAAAAACTACTTGAGTCCCTCAACTGTTAGAATCACCCTAACAAAAATGAGTGGTTATTATATTAAGTCATTAAATAGTTAAACTGAAGAATTAATAGGCTTGATATGGAGAAAATGATTACATTTTCAGTTCGTTTACATTGTTTCTTATTCAAGAGTCACCTAATATTGGCCCCTTAACCCACCCTGGAAACTTTGAGCCATGGCCTTCCTCCAAATGTTGTTAAAGTTACGGGATGCTCTTTTCTGAATTATTGATCTCTATATCTTTGTATTTCAAAGAATTTAACATTTAAAGAATGCAGAGATCCAAATTAATCATAACTGTTCAATTTAAGGTTCCCTA